GTTAAGTTATGTAAAGTAAGAATAAAAAACTAATTATATACCGGTTTTACAGTTCCTGGCTGCTCTCCAACATTGACCAAATGACCTCCAGGCGGCCCCACAGCCTCTTCTTCAGGCGCTGCTGCACCCTCTGCGGCGTCTTCAAGGACTGCTTCATCACCTTTAGAGCTGTCGTGAGGCTGCAGTAAGGTTTAAATGAATTAGTATAGGAGCAAACAAGCCAAAAGAATTAGGGATTATACTGCAATATCTACCTTATTGTCAATAACTACTTCATTACTAATTGGTTGGTGTTCTGTAGGTGCTTGTCTCTGGCTTGCAGACAGCTGAGTATCTATGTATGGATTAGGTCGTACATACTGGGTTGATAGCCAATAGAGGTACAACAAACCTACTAAAACTAGTAATAAGTACACTAAACTCTTCTGAAATCGGGAAAATTGATTCCACCACTGAAAAATAAAACATCGGGACAGATCAAAATCAAATGAAGGAAAAGCAGAATTATAATAATGCATGACATTGAGTACTGAGGCACTGGATATACTATATTAGTTAGTTAAGTGCTCAAGAAACTGCAGTCGTTCATAGGGGTAAGTAAATGGAAAACAGAAAGGCAAGGCCTGTCAAAACAAATATTTGTTATCTTACCCTCCACACAGAGCGGCGACGGAAGACAGAAAAAGAATCTACGGAATCATCGTGTAAACTGTGATCCACGTTCAATTCAACAAAGTCAGGAACAAAGTTATAACCTTCTCTCTTCGACTGGAAACCCGACATTTTGAGCACAACCACTTAAACAACCAAAGTTTTGCAGCCACTTGAGATAAGGTTAGCTCACACACCGGGAGATGACAGATTAGTGAGACAAGGGGAACATCCATATACTTATGGTGTGCACAACAATTCTTGTCAATGATTCTTGGCTCATCACTATCATTGCGATGAACAGGTAAGTACTTTAGGCGTTAATCACAACAATCTAGGGAGATTTACTTCATCCCCCTTACGGTCGCCATTTTGACAGTAGCCAGTAGCCTCGCTTGCAGGTCGTGATGTGGCGCTGAATTTCGCGGTGGAATTTAAACAGGCCGGCGGAAATGACCTTCGGAAACCAACAAACTGGAGCCGTGGCAGTTTGGGCTCAATGCAAGAGTAGGATAGTAGGATGTTTCCCGCTGAAATTGAGAAAGAAACAAAAACCAAAGTCCACTCGCAAAACATCTGATCATCAGATAAGGATTTCCACTTGAACAGTAGGTATTTGAACTTAAAGACGATAAAAGAGAGAGGGGGGGGGGTGCACATTGTCCAAAGTACCATCCCATGACCCTTCACCCTCTGAAGTAAATAAAAAACAGCTAACAGAGGGTACAAGCTAATCAGCCAACTGCCTCTGACGCAATGGTCGCGGGGACTGGCATGGGACGAAGGGACATCATGGGAGCCTAACACAGGATTTCCCTATCAACGGCCCCGCCGAGCCCCAGGGCTCCAGGGCTCTCTGGGGGAGAGGCGGCGGCTGGGAGCCGACGTTGGGGCTGGTGCTGCTGGTGCTGCTGGTGCTGCTTGGTGATGCTGCCCAAGGCTCGCGTCGCTCACGGCCACGGCCGACGCAACGGGCTGGGGTTCCGGCCATGATCAGCCTCCTCGTGACCTTCCAGAGCGTCGACGATCGCGTGGCCGCGTGGCCCTCCCGTCCTCACGATGGTTACTCAGTCAGGGTGTGCATGTTTTGTACGATTCGTTGTTTTACGTTCTGCCTTTCACAATAAGCCTCCCCGGTAAGAAATGTCCTTCCTGTCGAGTCAACGCAAGCGAATCGTGCATCGCGATGACGCCCCCAGAAGGGCATTTCGGACATTCGAGCCCGTCCCGCTCTTGGTTACACGTCGAACGACCGTCGGCGGAGGTCGCAGAAGTAATCCTCGCGGTGGTCGCGCCCGTTTGGCTCGGGAGCCATATAGTCAAAGCCAGCGTGTCCGGACCATATAATCCCTGGCGGGCTCGACTGTTCCAGAACCAGGCTGGCTGTACACGAGAGGACACTCGGGGCCGGGGCCGCAGGGCCTCCCAGCCCAACGCATTCCCGTCCCGACGGGTCCCCCCGGCGCCAATCACAGCTGATAGTGCCCAAGGGAGGCCGAGGCGGAGACTAAGCCGGCCGGACTAATTTTCCGCTCTTACCTATCCGTCTGGAGACCCCTTCCCTTTCCTGTACCTGTCTCACATTCGTGACACTCCCACACACATGCCACGCACACATACCACGCGCGCGCGCGCGCGCGCGCACACACCAGCCTTGGAGGCTCAAAGCCCATACACGCTGCGCAGGATAAAAGGGGGTCGACTTGAAAGGACGCTCCTGGATGATTGGAGGTCGCTGGGTCTTATCTGAAAAGGATATTGGTTTTTGCCGTTTGTTTCCCCACCATTTGCTTGATTTAGACCAGGACGCAACCCTGTGGCTGTTTCTACTTCTTTCAGGAGAGACGGGGCAAGTGAGGCCCCACCACCCTCCACCGTACCTCGAAGTATCGAATGGCTTGTGCTTGTGTTCATTCTTTGCTCTTTGAAATGTACGAACGGTGCTCGTGCGTGTTTGTACGATACATAGAGCAAAGTTTACTCCGTTATTGCCCCTGTATTCATTTCTCCCCTGTACAATTACTTTTTATTCATAAAATAATGAAGTGACGCCATATAGGTGAGTGACCGAGGCATACAGCCAGACTTTATAGTAGGCCTACTCTGGCGCTGCATTACAGCGCGTTCACGTGGAACCACTTGGCGCCTCTGGGGCCGTTTTGCATGGATGTCTTGCGAGTGTGGGGCATGCATAGGACGCGGCGCGTGGGGTCCCCGAGGAGGGAGGGGGAGGGGGGGAGCCGGTGATGCGAACGCCTATAAGCTGTTAGACAAACATCGGTTCCAATTTTGTTTTTTCCGGCGAGCGCGCGCGTGCACGTGTCGGCATAGCAGCGAGAGGTAAACAGCCATGAGTGTCCTCGACAGCGGCAGCAACGTTGTTCTGCAGAATAACCCTCTCCACTGGCCGGAGGCGTCCCGCCCCGGGGCCGGGCCTCCGTGGGCCGGGCCAGGGGCGCCGACAGGGCGCCGATCTCTGCGGTCGCGAGGCACCAAACAGCTGTTCGAGGCGCCAGGGGGCGAGAGGTGGTGGAGTGCGGCGGGCGAGATGGGGCGTGGCGGGGCGGGGCGGGGCGTTGCGGGGC